TCCCTTTCAGACACCACCTAATTCGTTCTGCATAAATCCAGAAACTTTGGCCTTTAGTATCATGTTGCATTTGCCCAATCAGAGAAGTGCAGATGATCCTGCCATGCTTTCTTAAAGGAAATAACATCTTAAGATGAACCTAATGGATCTGATTCGGACACAACTACACAGGCATCTGTCAAGCCTTGGGAATTCGCTGACCTGTTATTTGTTATGCGACAGCATTTCTAAGTTCTTCAAATGTTCAGATTATTCCATTGACACCATTTACCTGATGTGTATCAATGGATGTTTCCAGTAGAGGCGTTGTACCTTCTCCAGGCCATGTACTGGGCCCACTTTCTTGTCAATTATAATTGATGCAGCTGTACCAAGTTTCGTTTCAGATAAGCAATGAGACCTGTAAATGTTCTCTCTATTCTTTTATACTCGATGGCGGGGACATGATGGGGATATGGACATCCACTGGCATGGTTAGCATTTACTGCTCATTCCTCATTGTCTTGAGAAGGCTTGAAGTCCGTGATCTTTGTAGTGTATTTTCTACATGACACTCCTCATGTGTGTGTCTCAGAAGAGGAACTGATCCATCATAACTGAAACTGTTCTCAAATTAATATATTCTCTTTTTGGTCCTCAGTGGAAAGAATGCCCTTTTCTATTTAGACTTGTGCAGAAGAGAAAAATTTCTCGGGTTTCAAAGGTTGAGTTGTGATTTTGCTTTTAACTGTTTTGCTAAACTTGGTGCACTTCATGAATTTAAAACAAGTTAACTGGAAGAAAACAGAATTGCATTTACAGCCAACAAGAAAACACATTTAAAAAGACAGGAATGTATTGTAATCATGGTGTTACTGAATGCCAAGCAGGCCTGGGGGGCTAAGTAGCCAACTTCTGTTCTAATTTGCATGTTCATATGTTAAATAAATCACTTATTTATTTTGTTTCTTTGGAAGGAATGGATGTGGAATCATCAGATAAGTCAATGTCTTACTGCACTAGTATGGATTAAATCAAACACTTGATAAATTTTCAGGATAATGCGAGACAGTTCAGAAAGGAAGACAGCGGAACATTTTGGAATATATCTCTCAAATTTGAAATGAACACCAAATTAACATCTTAAATGGATACCTTAGATTCAGTTACTCTGGGCAACGCTTAGATTGCACCAGCAGACTTAATTCCTGGACTGCCTGAAATTTCTTGGTGGAGAGAACATACTCCATTTGAATTGAACAGAGAGGAGTTCCAGCAAGAGGTGGGTGGAAGGGGAGATAACTGGTGGAATGCCAGACCAGGGTGTGGGCAGAGGAGGAAGAAAGTGGGAGGAGGAGATGACTTGCCTGTGCCACCGATCAAAACTTTATACTCTTTTGATTCTTGTCGAGACAAATAGGAGGGCTCCACCTGAAGGTAGGAGTTCTCTTCAGGGTATCAGGGAAAAATCTTGATTTTTTTTGCAAGTAGCTGCTGAGAACATAGAAAATCCTCTCCTTCTCCATGTGGTGGATGGTGACTTTCAGATCTCCTCTCCTTGTTCACTGCGTGTTCTGTTCCTTCTGATCTAGCTGCTCTATTACACACTCCACAATCTCAGCTTTATGTTCAAGAAGGTCAGGAGAAGATTTCTCATGAATCCATGCCGCCTCCAGTTTCCCAATGAGCTGGGCCAGGTTCATGATCTGCTTCTCCTCAGTGTCCTCTCCACCCACCACCACCCTCTCCTCTTCCTATTCTTCGGCCATGGCTGGTAGCCAAGACTTCAACCTGTAACCTTCAATATCTGAACAAGAGATTTCAAGAAATGCCTGCAATTTATGCCTTAAGTTCCATTTGTGTTAACAAGGTTGAATATATCTACCCAACTGATACTACATTATAATCTTAGGATGAATACAAAAAATGTTAAACATTGATGTTTTGAGGGCTAGAGAAAAACCACAAATAAACCTGTTACTGCCTTGACCTCTGTGCTGATATTTGTTTTTTATGGGAATACATCAAGCTGCATTTAACATGTGAGAGCCGTACTAGTGCCAATGGTTGCCAAGTGCAGGCCCCAGTGACAGATGTAGGTGTAATGGAAAACTATTAGTATCACTCAAAGTTGTTTTCACTGGACCATTTGGTTTCTAGACTTGGCAAGATATACATTTAGCTTGCAGTCTGCTATGCTTGGGGACGTGGCAGCAGTCAAGCTGGTGTTAAGTGTAAAATCTATAGTTGTTCAAGAATGACCCGTTGAACATCAAACACATAGACTCTCAGATTTGCAGAACTGCTGTGCTCCATCTGTGTTCTGTTGTTGAGGATAGTCTAATGAACAATAGTCAAATGAACAAGTAAAGAAGTTCCATTATCCAGATCTCATGCTCGTGAAAGGTTCATCTCAGCAGAGCCGATACGTGACCATGTGCCATTGTACCTGAACACACATTGCATTCTACTTTGCTGAAAACCAACAATAACTCAAAATTAGGCAGGAAGACAGAAAATGTGTTTGTGAAGTCTGTCACGCTGTGATTAATTTGACTGAACTTTGTTTTGTGCCAGTTCACGTAATTTTGACTTGTTGCTGTTTTTGGGCTCGGGCACTTACAACTAATAAACTTACACAACAAAAACAAATTTGCTGGAAAAGCTCAGCAGGTCTGGCAGCATCTGTGAAGGAAAAAACAGAGTTAATGTTTCGGGTCTGGTGACCCTTCC